GTATTAATATCTGCATCTGTATCTATCAAGAAAAAGAATTCATTCTGAGGAATTAGTTCATATGAGTGTGAGACAAGTCCAAAATCTGAAGGGTAGGCCAGCAGTCTGGAGATACAGGCAGGACTTCTATGTCACATTTTTCAAGGCAGAATTTCTTCTTCTCTGGGAAATGTCAGATTGCTCTTGATTGATTGCTCTTTAGACCTTCAATTGATTTAATGAAGCCTACCCACATTATTGAAGATAATCTCCTTTACTAAGTAAACTAAATGTTAGTCACATGTACAAAAATACCCCCACAGCAATATCTGGACTAATGTGTGACCAAACAACTGGGCACTGCTGTCTGAGTTGGCACATAAAATTGTCACAAGATATGTCCTGTTTTGGTGACTATGAATACAGCTCTGGAAACATTCCTGATATGGGTTTTGTGTGGGTATAAACTTTCATTTCTGGAGAAGGCAATGGCAACCCACTCCAGTACTCTTGCCTGAAAAATCCCATGGATGGAGGAACCTGGTAGGCTACAGTCCATGGGGTTGCAAAGAGTCGGACACGACTGAGCGCCTTCACTTTCACTTTCCTGCATTGGAGAAGGAAATGGCAACCCACTCCAGTGTTCTTGCCTGGAGAATCCCAGGGACAGAGGAGCCTGGTGGGCTGCTGTCTATGGGGTTGCACAGAGTTGGACATGACTGAGGCAACTTAGCAGCAGCAGCAAACTTTCATTTCACTTGGGTAAATAACTCAGAGTGGGATAGGCTGGAACATATAGTAATTTTTATGTTTAATTTTATAGGTAACTACCAGATTGTTTTCCAAAGTGGTGAGAGGTGAGAAATTAAGGTAGAGTCTCTTAACTGATGATTGTGTTCAACTTAGGGTACTGATCTAACAGACTTGAGATGGGGGAGTTGAAGGACTATAGGAAAGAACATCACGTTAAGGACTCTGGAGAACCTAACAGACCCTGGTCCCCACTGTCACAAACCACAGACTTGAGGACCCTTTTCATCAGATCAGAGGTTGGTGACTTTTTGAAACTGTTTCTAAATGACTTTTCACGCAGCAGAGGCTGAGATTGCTGTGGGCTGGTTTTTCAACACTCTATGTTCCTCATTTGTCTGATTTTAATTTAGACCAGCTTTTTGCTACATGTTTTAGTTGCTTGATTTTACAAAAAGTAAAGGCCTTTCATCATTTACACCACCCTCTTAGCCCTCTTAGGTCTAAGGCTTAGCATTGGGGAGGGGAGGGTTAGTTTTTCCACTGGTGCAACCATGTTGATGCTTTATTTTCTTTGTAGATGAATTCTAATTTTTATCAGATCTGTATACATAGTTTTTAAAAAATCAAAATGTATAAGGCTTGTTAGGAAACCAGAAAATCTGGAACCTCTTCCATTTCCTCTTCCCAGAATCATCCATTTTCACTATTTACTCCCTATCTTTAAATAGCTTGACTATATTGCCATTTCCCGGTTCCTCAATTTTAGGTATTAGCTATTGACTTTGGGTATAAAAGATAAGAATTTATCTTTCACCCCTCATCTACCACACAAACACATATTCTGCTGTAATATAATTTTGGTTAAATCAATTTTCAGTGTCTTTATTACTATGACCATGTAAATGTTATGCACAGCTGAGCCAAACAATACAATTACTTCTCCTATCCAATATAACTTCCTTTTCATGGAGTTGGTAAATGTCTTATTTTCTGTTCACTTGGTTTTTCGTGTACTTATTTACATTATCTCCCAATTCTCCCTCAGTTGTTTGCTCTCCTTTCTGTGAGAGCGAACAACCTAGGTATTCATTACATTTTGTCTTCTTGACCAAATCTCTCTCAGACTCTTTTTAAAAGATTGCAGTAAAATATATACAACAAAATTTACCATCGATACTATTTTTATGTGTACAATTCAGTGGCATTAAGCACATTCATTTTATACTACCATCAGGACCATCCATCGCTGCAACTTTTTCATCATCTCAAACTGAGCCTCTGTGCCCATGAAACACTGTCTCCTCCTCCCCAAACCCCCAGCACTCACCCTTCTATCTACTCTCTGAATTTGACTATTCTAGGCCCCTCCTATAAGTGGAACCATAGAATATTTGCCCTTTGTGACTGGCTTATTCCACTTAGCAGGATGCCTTCAAGGTTCATCCATGTTGTAGCATGTGTCAGAATCTCCTTCCTTTTTAGAGCTCAACAATAATTTCATTACACGTATAGGCCACGTTTTGCTTATGCATCCATCCATCAATGGGCACATGTGTTGCCTCCACCTTTTGGTTGTTGTAATGCTGCTATGAACATGGGTGTATGGTTTCTCTTTGAGACCCTACTTTTAATTTCTTGGGGGTATATATTCAAAAGTGGAATTGTTGACTCATATGGTAATTCTGTTTTTAATTTTGAGGAACTGCCATACTATTTTCCACAGTGGCTGCCCCATTTTACATTCCCATTGACAGGGCCCCAGGGTCCCAATTTCTGCTCATCCTCACCAACACTTGTTATTTTATTTACTTTTTCTGGCATTTTCCATAGTATCCATCCAAATGGGTTTCAGGTAGGAGCCTTTCCTTTTGACTGATCCTTATCAACTTTTTAAGGTCGTTTCTTTGATTTTCGTTATGTTAGTGTCCTCTCATATTCTCAGCCCTCCTACCTTCCACACCCTCCCTAGGCGACACTTTCTCTCACCTCAGACCTCAGTTACACCTACAGATTTTCTACTCCCGTAGCTAGTCTGGGTCCCTGAGCTCTAGGCTTCCATATCCATTTGAATGCTGGGCAGCTTAAATATATTATATTGCACATAAATATATGTGCAATCATTGAGAGCAAAACCAAACACACTTTCCCTAAAACCTGCTCTTGCTGTGTTTCTTGACTCAGTGAAAGAATTCACCATCTGGGAAGATAGGCAAGCCGTTAACATAGGGAGTTAGCTTGGTTTTTTTTCCCTTCTCCCACCTTACTGCTGCCCTGTTTTCTTGTATCCATAACGTTGTCTTTTTCGTTGCTACTGCCTAAATCTACTCAATTTGTACTCCTTTGCTCTTACTTGTTGACGTTTAGCCCAGAAGCTCTCTCAGCCTGCAATCTTTCATCCCTGTGATAATCTAGACACCTGCCTGAGTTTTCCTGCTCCAGTATAGGCCTATATTACTCCTCTACTTAAAACCTTGGAACATATGTGGAAGAGAACCCTGGTGGTGCAGTGGTAAAGACACAAGAGACCCAATCCCTGGGTCAGGAAGATCTCCTGGAGTAAGAAATAGCAACCTACTCTACCTGATCCAGCATTCTTGCCTGGAAAATCCCATGGACAGAGGACCTGGCAGGTTACAGTTCATGGGACTGCCAAGAGCCGGACACGATCGAGTGACTGAGCACAAAGGGATCAAGAATAGCTGATTCGAACTTCTCATGAAGATAATAGTTTTATACTGACAACAGGCATAGACTAGAGAGCCCGGCAACAAACCTGTGCATGTCGGAAACTCTGGCATATGACTCTGATAACCATGAAGGTACCTTACTCAAAATTCCCTCCAAGAGCACTTGGGGCTAGGAGCACAGTTAGTGGACAACCTCTAGGTCTCGCCCAGATTAGAAGACAGCAGCTTTATAGCCACTGCAGCATTGCAGAGACCACACTTCCCAAGGCTGCTTTGAGCCAGTGACTGAGACAGCTGGGGTAGAGGAGCAGAGCCATTTCCGTCTGACATGGGTCTTCACTAAGAGGCAAACTTTTTCTCTGAGGGTCCCCAGTGACTTTGTCAACGTTATCTCCGAGTTGCACCAAGTTGGAGGCAATTCCTAGCCAACCCTCCTTGCCCACTTCCCTTTTCACAAGTGTCCAACATGTATTGTGGGGTTTTTGCCTATTCCTGTCCTCTTTTACCCTTCACAAATTTTCCTTCAATGCTTCTCTTGATCTTCTAAGGACCCAAATTACACGATGACACAAGGAGCATGTCAGATTAAATGGGAAACACTGTGTGGAACTGTTCAATGAATGGAACTTCAAAATAATGATTATAAATGTGGAAAAATATGAAATTGGATCCCTACCCTATATTTGTATAAAATTTAACTTCAGGTAGATTAATGACTTAAATTTCAAATATTAAGTTTAAAAACTTTTAGTACACTCCATGGATGAGTATCTTTTAGAATCTGTGATTTAGAAGTTGAGGTAGGAAAATACTTCTTAAACAATACACACACACACACACTCCATAAAATTAATCACTTTTGGGAATTCCCTGGTGGTCTAAAGGTTAGGAATCTGTGCTTTCACTGCTGAGGGTGTGGGTTTAATCCTTGGTCCAGGAACTAAGATCTCAGAAGCCACGAGGTACTGCCAAAAATAAATAAATAATTTTAAAAATTAAGCACTTTGTTCATTAAAGGCATTTAAAGAGACAGCTTATAAACTGGGAGGAAATATTTGCAATATACATAACTGAGAAAGGATCAGCATCAAGAATTCCTTAAAATCAATGAAAAAAACATCTAAGATAATACATTCCTGTCGTTTTAAGCCATTAAGGCTGTTAGAGCAACAATAGGAGATAAATAAAGTGGGCCAGGCATGGATCCATAATGAACTGCATTATGATAAATACAGTACTGTACCCAGGTCCAGTTAAGAGAATAAATCCCTTGAAAAGCTCTTTATGGACTAGTAGACAAAGCCCAAACTCCTCAGCATGGTGTCAATCCTTAACAACATGGTTCTAGAAACGCCCTGCTCTTCTTATCGCCTTATCCGATGAGTGAACGGATGGAGAGAACTTCGAAACTTGTAAAGCAATTTTCTCTGGTGGCTCAGTGGTAAAGAATCCGCCGGCCAATACAGAAGACGCAGGTTCGATCCCTGGAGAAGGAAATGGCAACCCCATTCCAGTATTCTTGCCTGGAATCTATCCCATGCACAGGGGATCCTGGCGGGCTACAGAGGTCACAAAGAGTCGAACACGACAGGGCACGACCCCCAAAGCAATTTACATGCCACCAACCCAGGCTCGAATACCTAGTTCAGGGAAAACGCGCCCAAAGGACGCGGCCGGCAGTCGGGAAAGTCGGAGGGAGGCTCCGGCGAGCGTAGCTTGCAGCTCAGCGCGGGTCCAAGGTCCACTCTATCCCCTTCACCCGTCGCGCGGGGTGGCGGTTGATTACAAGAGGCCGGCCGTTTTGGTTAATACTGTGGGGCCAGAAAGCCCCTGAGGGCTCGGACACCACGCGGAGTCCAGAGCACTGCCTTCAGCCGCAATTGAAGAAACCGCTCTCAAGCTGGATGGAGGCGGAGCGGCAGCTCCCGCAGAGCCAACAGAAGAGCCTTAATATGCCAGGAGCAGTGCTAGGACAGCCCCCAGCGCGAGGCACTCTGGGACTTGTAGTCTACCTCCGAGACGGGGCTTTCCCCCACCTCGTTTCCCCGCCTCTTAGTGTAGCTTTTATTCTGCCCCCGCTCCCCTCCCAGCACGCCGACTTCCTGGTCGCCGCACGCCTCACAGACGACTACACTACCCAGAAGTCTCTTCTCCGCGTCCCAGCACCCCGCTGGTGCCGGCCGTCTCCTTTGGACTACAGTTCCCAGAAGTCTCCTGGAGAAGTGACTTCCTCTCTCATTTCTAGGACCACAATTCCCAGACACATCAGCTTCCCGGCGGTTCTCTCTCTCTCTCTTTTTTTTCTTGACTCGAGCTGGTTGGGTTTCGCCGACCGGCCGGCGCACAGCGACGACGTGGTTCGCCGTGACACCGCACAGGGTTCCCTTAGCGGCCCGTCTTCCTCCCCTCTTAGCGATCCCCTTTGCAGGCCGTCGCCGCCGGCCTCAGCAGTGACCTGGCGGGCCGCGCCTGCGCTCTGCCCCGTTTCCTGCCTGGCTGGTGGCGGCGGCCATTTTGTCCATCCTCCTCCTCCTCCTGCTCCTCCTGGTTGGAGCGCAGTGTCCGGAGCGGGCTGGGGGGAGAAAGCCCGAGAGCAGGGTTCGGTGCCTTTTCCTCTGTCCCCAGCCGGTGCCCGGAGTCCCCTCCCCGGCCCTGCCCTCCCCCTTGTCCCGGGATCGCTCCGTCGCACCCACCATGATGGAAGACGACGGGCAGCCCCGGACTCTGTGAGTACCCGAGACGGAGGGGGTGCCAGGCGCTGGGAGGCCCCCTGGCACCGCGGGACGCTGTGGGAGGGAGCCGGAGCGCGGGGCCGAAGCTGGGACTTCTCGGTGGATCCCTGGCCGCGGTGGCGCGGACGCGAAGTGCATTCCTCATCTGTCCCTTTTTTCCTTGGAAGGGAAGCCCTCCCTTCCCCCCCAAACACAGTCACTTCCTGGGGTCCGGGGCTCGCTTTGACCTTTCCCTCTCGCGCCCTTCTTTGCACCCCCTTCCTAAGCTGAGTTTCTGCACGGCAGAACCTGTCAGGCCTGGGAGAGCTCCTACTCTCAGTCTGCTTTGGGAGCCCTGGGCTGGGCCGGGAGCTGCTGGTCCCCCCCACCCCCGCCCGACCATGGGGGCCGGGCCTGGTGGGGGTGGGCCTGGGGGTGGGATCGCAGCCGCCTCTCCTTGTGGGTCGCGAGGAATCGGCACTCGCGCCCTCCACGTCCCCGGCTCCAGTTGCTGCCGGCTTTTCTCCCCAAGTTGAACTCCCGAAGGGAGCCGGACGCTCGCCCGCAACTCTAGCCCCTGCTCTCTTTCTGCCCCACGTGCCCGCGCCCACGCTGTCAGAAACACTCGCCCAGCGCCCGCTACTTTGAGAGTGAGAAAGGGATGCCTCTTGCCGCCGGAGCATCTTTTCCCTTCTTGGATGATGAAGTTTACTTTGAGCGCTACCTACGCTAAACTGACAACCAGTTGTTAAACTGCTTTTGCTCTCATTGGTGTTACCTGCTTCTAATCTGTTTCTTGGGTCGAGACCTTCAGAGTTGGATAAGTAGAGGTTTTGTTTTTGTTTTTTTTAATCAGCTCTTCGACGTGTGTCTTTTGAGTGCTCTTTCTTCGATCTTGCTGTCGCTCTTTATCTGAAGCCCAGTGTAATGAATGAATTTCATCTTCCAATCGCCTTTTCCAGTTTCCTTGCCTTTTTACTGAAGAGTGATGACTCAGCATTTGCATTCCTTTGCAAATAGTGTGGCATTCCTTTCTTTTTTTCCTGAAAAAAATTTTTTTTTCCTTGGAAGTGTGAGTAATTCCTAGTTAAATGTTTAAGTTGGGTACCTTGGGTTTTCCTAACGTTTCGAAGCTCAGCACGCCTGCCTCCACTGCAGGCAGTCAGTCAGGTCGCTGCTTTGTTTTCTCTTGCCTCTGCCTGGTATTGATAGGATCATAGTCCACTTGGCTGTACTATCTGATGGCGAAATTACTTTGGGGGGAATAGACGAAGGTGGATGGGTACTCAGGAAGTTTGACCAGTTTCTCTTCTCTACTCCTAGCAAGGAAGGTGTGTTCAGTCAAGAAGGCAGATAATCTGTGTTCAGTATTGGTAATCTGTGTTCAGTATTGGTACAAGTTTGGCTTTTTGTCTTGTTGGGAGGGGGGGGATTACACTTTTTTGTTCCTGTTTCTTTAACGTCTCCCTAAAGTATCCTCTATTCTTTTTGAGAATTTGAGGCCAGCTTAAGCACATCAAATGCTTAATTGAAAAGCCTGCTTAATAGAAGTTTTCAGTGTATGTTTTGTGCTGTCTTCCATTTCTGCTGTCTTTTCCCAGAAGAGAGAATTGGGACAAGCTTGAAATTTGTCCTCTTGACATCTGTTGAAGCCAAGACTTGGGATTTAGTTAGCAATGTGTTCTTGGAAGGAAGCATCTGGGAAGGCTGAATTTAGGCCTAGCAAGCAAGCATGTATTTAACAAAGAGAAGTTACATTGTATTTAAAACTCTGAAGTGTCATCATTGCATCATGATAGCTACTGAATAATTGGTAAATTCTCGAGACACGTTTCACTTCTGTGTCCCTTATGAAGAATTCCTGGTTTTTGTCATGCTAAATAAAATGCTATTGCAGTACCTTTAATTCATATAACTACTTTGCCTCTGCCTTCTCTTCCATCCTTGTCTGACCTTACTCTACAGACTAATTTCTTTGTCACTTAAGAATTCTTACCTCAACCTTCTCCAAAGTCCTGTTCTTTCTCAGTATGTTTACAGTTGTCTAAAGCTGTGACATATATACATTAAGTACTGAAACACCTTGAGCTTGGTTGTACCCATATGTCAGATGTCAGCACATGTTTGCTAGTCTTCCTTTTCCTTCTCCCACTCTTCTCTATGGGAAGGTTTGTTGTTTTTTTTTTTTAGACAAGGACTGCTACATCTTCCTAGGTCTTACCCCTGCCTGGAACGTAAGAGGTACTCAAATATTTTACAATGATTTTACTTCTTTTCACTAAATTTAATATTAAGTCCGTTTTTTAAGAAATCCTGATCGATTTAAAATTATATGTAGGCAGACATGGTCATATATGGTGTGGTCTGTTGATTTATATATATATATTTTAAACCTCAAACGTACAATTTTGAGATAAAAGCGAATGTTTCACAATTACATTTTTGTCAGATTTTAATAAAAGTAATGCATATTTTATATATTCTCAAAAGGTTCTTTTAGATACAAGTAACATGATGAAAAATTTGAAGGTGACTTTAGAGATTGATATCTAGTAGGGGTTTTGTTTATTTATGGAGATCCTTCTTTTATTTTACATTGTGATCTTTGGTTTGGGCTTTAAAGTGGTTGGTATGTTTTAAAACAATGTACTCTTAACAAAGTTTATCTTAAACTGTTTCCTTAAAATGCCTGTGTGTTACTAGTGAGGTTTTTTTCCTGCAGACACACACAAGCTAAGACATATGGTTCTATCATCAGAAAACAATATGGTGTTTATAGCCTAGGTAGGTCTTTAAATATTCATTACCTACAGTATTACTAATTTATTTGATGGTATTTAAAGTGATATAGAATTGCTTTGATGTTGAGCCTAAAGTTTGTCATATAGTTGCTTTGAAGGTCTGTTTTCTGATGTTCTTTGTTCTTATTTGACATTTGCGGGGTGGGGGGTGGGGGGAGCTAATATATATTGGGTAATTTGAGATCTAAAAAAACAAATGAGAAAAATTCTGTGTAAAACTGGTGTTGGAAGGGGACTGCCCAACACCTACCTTGTAGGATTCACATTTCAGCTTTGTGTTGTGGATAACTTTGAGTGCAGTGATTTGATCCATGGTATTTCTGAATCTGTTATACAGCATTAAATTGTAATGGTGTTCTACTGTAGTTTTATTTTCTTCATCTATTCGATGTACCACAATGAATAGGAATTGTGGATCTGGGATTATATCATGTTGTACAGAGCCATCTTTTAGACTGTTTTCTTCCTAATAGAGACTCAGTCAAAAGAAGGAAATAAACCATTGATTTAGGGTATAATCTGACCATCCAAGGGCAATAACAGAAGTAAATACTATTAAATCCTATTATAAAATTGATTAGCTGTACCAAGGGTTTGGCTGTATTGGGCCTGTAATTAAATTAAGCCTCTCATTCAATTTAATCATGTTCTGTTTCTCTAAAATGTATGTGTATGTGCGTTAATATTCCTTATATAGTTGGTCAGTTCACTTATACTTCCTGTACCTTTCTTCTGCCCTACCTCCTTCCTAAAATGAAATATTGATAAATTGATCAGTTCATTAGAGGCCCATTGAAGGATATTGTTGCAAAATCTTCTCTTACATAAGAATTTGCAAGAACAAAACCAAAAATGTTACTTAGCCATAGCATCTTGTGTAAAAGTGCTGATAATTTTGGCCTCTGTAGGGCTAACCTTTTCAGAGTGAGAGCAGAGTCAGTGATGGAAAGTGTGATTAGCCTTCTGAAAGGCATGGTGTTCTTAAAATTCTGCCCAGTTCAACATAGGAAGTAGTTTGGCAATGTGGACTTTTGCCTACTATGAAACTGCCAAGTTCTAGTCTTAAATTTGATTTTAACCCTGAGGTTAGGGATAAAGACACTATTTTCCATTTTTAACGTGTTAATTCCTATAGTTCCTGTTCTTAGAAGACAAAATAGACCAAACGTATGCTTTTTCCCCACCTTGAGTTAAAAAGTGTTTTAGAATTTCCTAAGTATTTTCTCTTTGAATTGCCCAGATACAAACATTTGAGCCATTTGTCTTTTTCTGTTATTCTATGTTCTTCAACTAGAAATTTTATATTTAAATCCTTGGAACGTTAGAATATGTTGACTACCTCATAACCAAAGCAGAAAGAAAGTGTAGAAATGACATATAATTTAGAAGGAAAAGGGGTAATATTTCAGTATATTACCAAGATGTGATATTTTTGCCAGGTCAAGCCTTGAATATTTTTGTTAGTGTTTATTTTGGGACAGATAACTTTATGGTAATGTCAAGGTACTTAAACTGTATAGTATAGTGTTTTAAAAGTTGCGAAGTATTTCTATATTAAGTTGTATGGAGGATGCAGGCAAAGGTAGATAAATGAATTACAGAACTCTGAGTGAAGGAAAAGGCAGTCTTGAGATTTGGGTATAATTTAGGTGAAATTATGTGTTGAATTATACCCTTTTTATCCTGTCAGATTCAGATGTCCTACATGTGGTTATGGAAGGCCATTTTTATATTAGCTTCTGAAGTTTGCTCCTTTACCATTGAACTTTTAGTGAAAATATTTGAAAAATAGGAAACCTTAAAACTGGACTCTTTCTATAAGTATTTCATGACATTCTAAAATTAACCTTTTGCTCTTTGTTGCTTGAAGTGTAAATTAATATATCTAAATGTGCCTCTAGAAATTCTTCAGAATCTGTATTGATTAGAAATAGATTGACTTGGAATAAAGATCCTATGAAACAGGATGCCCATGCAGTTTTTCCTGGAAAGCTGTTTAAACACTCATACAAACTTAAAATTATTTAAATCATTTACAATTTGTTACATAAAAGCGAAAATTTTTACTTTGTTACTAGTTAGCTTTGATACCTGAAACTCCTGTTCTCTTAGAAATGAGCTGCTGCTGCTGCTAAGTCGCTTCAGTCGTGTTCGACTCTGTGCGACCCCAAAGACGGCAGCCCACCAGGCTCCCCTCCCTGTTTCTGGGATTCTCCAGGCAAGAACACTGGAGTGGGTTGCCATTTCCTTCTCCAATGCATGCATGCACGCTAGGTCGCTTCAGTCATATCTGACTCTCTGCGACCCTATGGACAGCAGCCCACCAGGCTCCTCTGTCCATAGGATTCTCTAGGCAAGAATATTGGAGTGGGTTGCCATTTCCTTCTCCACTTAGAAATGAGCTAACTATTACTATTTTAGGTTAGACGAGTTTTAACACTTCAGAGACTAAGGTTGCTGTTCTTTATAGCTAGGTCTACCTTGTATAAAAAATTCCAAGGATATAGACTGATAAACCCCTATGGGTTAAAAAAAAAAAAAGAAAGGAGACAGGTGATTGGCTAGCTCAAAAGTCGGTAACCTTTGACTGCTGCTGGGAGTGTGTGCACATTCTACTCACGGGTCTGCTCTACTGTAAATGTAACAAAAAAGGCAGCATAGTGGACCTAAGCCAGTTTGTCACCTGTTTAGTCTTCCATTCAAGTAACATTGAACTTATGTTTCATTTTTAGAGTGTGTTAAAGTTATTAGGACCCATTATGATGAAATTCTTAGATAAACAAGAAAATTGCTGTTCATTCTTAATCAGATTTTCTTTTTTTTAACACTTAACTTTACCTTTCTCAGTCCTGTTTTCCCTTTCAGAGTGTCCCTACTTAAACTATGGCAACTGTAGATGCAAGGCTTGTATTGGTCTCAATACATTGTTTCCAGATGTTATATATTATAGTTAGGAAAATAAAGCTTATTTTCCTTTCCAGAAGAAACAGTGTTTAAATTTTACAAATACTGTTTGGTTTATGAGGATCATAGCAGATGTGAGTTTTAGGAATTATACACTGAGTAGGGGAAAGACTTAAAAAGTTTATTCAGCTAAATTGAGACAGGCCTGTGATACAAGGTGGTCATCTTTGAGCGGCAGTGTTCTTTTCTTTTAAACTTAACCTGTATATTAAATTTCTTATACAATATATATATATATTCAACCTGTAATTAAAAAAACACACAAAATATTAGATATGTTACAGTCAAAAGTATGCCTGAATTTGTCTGTAATTTTTTCTGAATTTCTAGAGAAATCTTTATATTTGCTTTGTTATCTACATAAAGATGTATTTTGCTGATTCTGATGCATTTTAGATGAGGAAATTTTGTTATTTTACCCTGCTCTCCTGAAACAAAATAATGAAGACATACCATCAATGACAGTTTTATTACCAAGACAGAACAAAATCCTTCAATCTCTTGTGTGTTTTGCTATAACTTTGATTCTGTTCTTTGTTCATGTAATTGCTTTGGTTGAGGGTCTAAGATAAACTAACCTTATATCTGATACCCCTCTATGATTGGATGTTTTAATGAGTCAATATTTGTGGTACTGTGTGTGTTATACATTATTTTGAATTGTGTTTCACATCTAAACATTGTAGTTTTCTTGAGACTGGTTTAAATTACTATTTTTATTCTAACAGATGAGAAAATGATATATAGTCTACAGAATAATATGCTTTTGGGGGTATGTAAAATCACATTGATTTGCTCTTTTGAAGTGATACTGTAGTGCCCTAAGAACAGTTATGCTTTCCTAGGTGAGAGTTAATCTTACACGCAAAGAATGAGGCTTAATTGGAAAAATTTTATTGAAGAGAGAGGAAGTTGAAATAAAAGATGATGTGTAAATGATAATGCTTTAGAGCCAGAGCTGAAGGGAAATTGCTGATAGTTTTATTTTTTTTCTCTTCCTATACAGATACGTAGGTAACCTCTCCAGAGATGTGACAGAAGTTCTTATTCTTCAGTTATTCAGTCAGATTGGACCCTGTAAAAGCTGTAAAATGATCACAGAGGTAAGAGCTTCCCAGTTCCACATGCTGACAGTTAGCATAATGTTTAAAATTTTGAGATACATGACTTCATTTGTATCATTTTAAGCCTCAGGTTACTAGATGGAGAAATTAGTGTTTGTTGTGTTGACTTATTTGATTTGACTGACAAACTAGGTTTGGAAGTTGAGAGGACAAAGTTTCTGCGCCCTTATTTTCAAATAGTCCTTCATGATGATGCTGTCTTCAGGTGATGCTGCTTATAAAACATTGTTAGAGCTTATCTCAAAATACTGAAAAACTAGGTGATCTTTCATCTATTTACAGTAGGAACGTTACGTTTGGAGCTCAGGGATGGGTGTGTGTAGAACATTGGGTCATTATGAGCATAGTGCCACATAAGCATCTTGAACATAAAAATGTTCAAGTAAATGCTGACTGAACAACTTGATGAAGGTAGGAGTTTGAATTGAGTTGTTAATTTGTTTTCCTTCCCAGCCCCCCCCCCCCCCAAAAATCTTACTTTTTCTACTTTCCTGGTCAGTGACTTGTGTTTCAGTTTATTCTCTTCTTTTTTATTTGTTAACACTTTTTTGGGGGGCGGGGGGGACTCTTCAGTTTGTGCCAGGTACCATGGTAAGTGCTAGGGATACAGTGGTGAATAAAACAGCTCCTGGCCCCAGAGAATTTTCGTCTAATGAGGGAGGCAGAGGCGTTAACAGGCACTAATGATACAGGATGGGAAATGCTGCAGACACCGAGTGTTTCAAGTGCTCTAGGAGCACATAGGTCCACACAGTCTTTAGGCAGGGGAGGCTTCTTGGGGGATTCAGTGTCTCAGGCGAAATCAGAAAGGATAGTGGAAACTGTCTAGATAGCAATCTGAGGAAGATGGGAATCCAGGTAGAGAGAAGAATGTTGATCCAGCCTGGTAGACAGAGAGCGGGAGTTGTTGTGAGATTGAGGGAAAAATAAAAACCATAACACGGTTGAGTTTGGAATGGGACTTGTCTTCTGAGATCCCAGGAGATGAGGCAGGAGCATTCAGCAGGGACCAGAGCTGGTTGAGGAGTTGGTGTGATGTTCTGAGGCTGCAGAAACTTAAACACCTGTAAGCCAAGTGGCCTTTGGATCCTCCTTCCTAACTGACAATAATGATCTCTCTTCTTTCCTTCCTGTCTTTGATTATTACTCATTCTTTCTTTTCATGCATTAAACATTTACTTTGTACTTGGCATCATTCAGAGCGTTGGGGACATACTGCAGAGCTAGACCAGCAAGGTGCCCAAGAGTTCACGTATTAATGAGAGTATTGTCAACAACAGTAAACTGTTGTGGAAAGCCGTGAACTGTAATTCTGGATAGGGATAAGAGCTTTGAAGAGAATAAAACAGTTCCGTGATGACGAGTGGAGTGTTGGTGCCCTGTAGCCTGGGTGGTGAGGGGAGGCGTCCTGCTGTTGTCGGCATCTGTTTTGTGAATGTAATAATAAAGGTTCGTAAGGAGACGGGAACGAAAGTTGCCTAATTGAATGTTGAGGCTTTTTGGTTATGGTTTGTGATCCAGAAATCTCTCTTGTCAGTGGGCAGTTGACTCAGCCAGATTTTAAAGGATCAAATGAGTCTTTTTCAGACTGGATATTGGGTATGGGACCAACCTGGTAATGATTGCTGTCAGAAATCATCACCTCTTTGAGCTGAGATGGGAATAGCAAGATGGTGCTGTCTGCATTACGAGCTGGAGGCAGAGGGAACAACCCATACAAAAGCCTTGAGTTGGTAGTTAGCTTGGGTGTTTGAGGAACCAAAGACCAGGGGGGTTGGAGCCTGGTGAATGGTGGGAAATGAGTAGGCAGGCAGGGTTTGGGATCAATAGGGTGGTGCCAGCCATGACAGGGCGCTTGGGTTTTATTGTGGTTGCACCTGGGGCCTTAGGTAGGGTGGTAAAGTATTCCTGTTTGATTTCGGGGGAGGGGCTGTGCTGGGTCTTCACTGAGGGGCTTGGACTTTCTCTAGTCTGACATGCATTTTAAAGGTGACTGGAAAATGACTGTTGTATGGAGGGTGGATTGTAGGGGCAAGGGCAGAAGGAGAAGGAAAGTAGCTGTGTTTATTTCACTGGTCAAGGTAAGAGATGCCGTGGGGGGCTTGTTCTTTAGAGTGATAGCCACAGAGCAGAGGTAGATAAACTTGAGATGTATTTTGGAGGCAGCGTCGATAACACTGGATTGGCCATGGGACACAGGGAAATGAAGACATCAAGAAAAACCCCTAAGATTCTTATTTGTGGTTGTGTGGATGGTAATGCTGTTTATTTGCTAAAATGGGCATGAGTGAAGGGGGCATGGGATGGATGGGGGGAGTGGTGGGAATCACTCACTGTGTTGGCAGTGTTAAATTTAAGATGTGTTGTAGACATGTATCAATGAATGGACGTTATATGTAGGCAGTTGGATAAACATTTTGGAACTTCAGGGAGACCGGTGCTGATAATACCAGCTTGCAGTAACGTTTGAAGCCATGGGACTGGGTAAGATGTAGTTGGTAGATCTAGAGAGCGCTGAGAGAGAAGAGAGTAGAGGGGCCTGGGTGCGAGCCCTGGCGCGGCTCAGCACCTGCTGTCCAGTTGCTAAGTCACGTCCGACTCTGTGACCCTGTGAACTGCAGCGTGCCAGGCTCTCCTCAACACTTAAGTGACAGTGGTAGCCTGAGTTAAGAGGGGAAAATGCCTTCAGAAAGACTTCCAGTGAGGAAATAGGAAAACCAAGAGGATATGGTGGAATCTAGAGGAGAATATTTAGAAGAGGAGGAGCGTTGTCAACTGTGTTGAATTCTGCTTGAAAGTCAAGATGAGGAAGAAAAGGGATCACAAAGATGGCAGAGAGGTCAGTGGTGAGCTCAGCACAAAATTTCCTTTTGCCGTGGTTGGGTTAGAAACTGGCTGGAGTGTTTAGGAAAGAATGGAATGTGAGAAAGTGGAAAGTCACTAGAAAATGTTTTGAGAAACATTTGATGTTTGTTTGTTTATATTAACTTGTATGCACAATCAGCCACTTGAGGGTGGAAGGGTTTGAAGTGAACTTTCATAATTTTTCCATATTCTACAACTCCTACACTTGAACTTGTAAATAGTTTTAAAGTCTCATATTTCTCTGTTTTGATATTTATGTCATCCAACAAAAATTGGTGACAACATGAAGGTAAGGACACAGTCGATTTTAGACTTTTTTTCCCTTTGGCTGCACAGCATGTGGTATCTTAGGGCTCTAACCCATGCCCCTTGCATTGGAAGCAGGGGTCTTAACCGCTGGACCACCAGGGAAGCCCCCATAGTGTCCCTTGGTAGTGGTGTAAATGGAAAGCGTTCAGAGGCCTTGAACTCTACTGCCGACTATGGTTTCCTTTCATAAATTTCATTTCAGTGTGTGAGAAAGCTCTTTCTTGCCCTTATGATGTTCTACTTTAGATACTGTCTCTTAGACTCTAGCTGCTTTCCCTATATACATGTGTGTATGTGTGTGCTCAGATGCTGTGTCTGGCTCTTTGCCACCCCATGGACTGTAGCCCGCCAGGCTCCTCTGTCCACGGGAGTCTCCAGGCAAGGATACTGGGGTGGGTTGCCACGCCCTCCTCCAGGGGATCTTCCCAACCCAGCGATCGAACCTGACTTTCTTAAGGGCTCCTCCACTGGCAGGCAGATTTTACCACCAGGGCTACCTGGGAAGCTCCGCCTCCGTGTACTATGATAAGTGTGTATTACCAGTTCTAAGGCAGATGTCAAAAAATTTTAACATCTCTGACAGTGACAAAAAATATCAATGGTGTCTTAAGTGAGATGAAATGCAGTGTGATATGAATATCTAAGAGTGTGTGTACACATGTATGTACGTACATTGAATGGGATCTGGGCTACTACTGGTTAGATAAATTTGCAATCAGTATGCACAAGTAGACTAGTTACCTGAAGCCTGTCATCGTTAAGAATACTTCTACCATTGGATTCCTGTACATTTTACTAGTTACCCATGTTTTCCTTAGAGACCATCAGGTCAAAAGAGGTGGGATGAGGAGGAAAGCTGACTAGCACAGATTTAGCCTCTTACTTACTTTGAAATCCTTTCTTCAATGAATGTTACTGGTAAATGTCAACTCTTTTTCACAAAAGGAATTTGAATGCGTTTTTCTCTTTGGAGTCTTTCCCCCTATTTCCTTTCTCTGTCTCGCAAATATAACATTCACGTTCACGTGGCTACAACAATAGGTTTTTGTGTGAGAGCCCATAGTTTTCTTGTCAGTATTAACGATTACACTTTTTTTCCCTTAAGGAAATGCCTTCTGGTTGCTTCACCACTATTGTTTTAGATGTCTTATTTTGGATTTTTCTTCTGAAACTTTCCTGGAATGAAAAACAGTGGTTGTTGAAAAGAGCTTAATTTTATCTGGTACTTTTAATCCCTTGTAAGTGCAACTGGAATTGCCACATTTTAAATGTTATTTTTAGTGTTTTTTACATGGAACAGTGATGAATATTTTTAGCCAAAATAAAAATATATTTGTACAATTGTATAGCTGTTCATTATAGGTGACTGTCTTATAAAAATTCATTTCCATTTTGGTTCATAGGTGATATAATTGCTAAAATTTAGGTACTTTGTTTTATATTGTTGTATTTTTTTTTGTTGTTGATAATTTAATATTGCTATTTAGTATTTATTGGTGTTGTATTAGACACTCAGTCTTGTATTGGCATTTTCTGATGTAAAATTGTAGCTTTGCCTTGGAATATTCAGACACATTTTCAGAAAACCTTTTCTTAATCACTAGTACATTTTTCTGGTCTTTGGAAGACCAAATTCAAAGTGAATAGAATCTCCAGTGCTTTCAAAGCTTTTGAAAGGGATTTCATTTCAACAGTTGATTATAAATCTGAGATTTTTCGGTTTCCATTCTTATTCCTTCCTTATCCAGAGAAATACATAATCTTGTCTCATCATGTATAGTACTAATCCTAGTTTCGATCAGGAGTAAAGCTTGTAAAGTTGGTTCATTTCTGTATTTTTTTATATTCATGGGATACAGTTTATGAAGGATTATGATGCGTAAATAGAGTTCATCCCTTTGAAAATAATGTTGGGAGAGGAGAGCAGTGGTAAGGAGTGGTCCTCATCTCTCAGATCTGAGCTTGAGGTTTTGTTTAGTATAAACTTCTGTTTTATATTTAACATATTTCACCAGAACCCTATATTTTTATTTAATACTGATAGTCATGATTCTCTACTGCTTTGTAGTTCTGTTTGAGTACAACAATATTCTGAGGTGCAAAGCCAGGTATAGGTGTAAATCTTATAAAGTGTTAGGCTTTGTAAAGTGTTAGGCTTTCATAAGCTTATACAGTCTCACCTCATACATTCCTAGCTATCAGTAATGATTTTTCCTGGATTTTCTTCTCAGCAACCCGATAGCAGAAGGGTCAACTCTTCTGTTGGATTTTCTGTTTTGCAGCATACAAGCAATGACCCATATTGCTTTGTGGAATTTTATGAACACAGAGATGCAGCTGCTGCATTAGCTGCTATGAATGGGAGAAAAATTTTGGGAAAGGTAAGACAGTGAGTGATGGCGCCTTGTGAGTGTGTCTGTCTGCACGTCAGATGAGCTTGTGTTCTTTCCTAGCAAGTTTCTAAACAAATACTCAGCTCTGCCAAGTGATGGTTTTGTTTTCTTCAGCTTAGTGCTTTTACCAAAATTCATTCTGCTTGATAAATGATTTAATAAGTGGTAAGTGTTATGAGTCATAATGACATGCCTAATAATTTTATGAAATATAATCTTTATTTTTAGGAGGTCAAAGTAAACTGGGCAACAACACCAAGTAGCCAGAAAAAAGATACTTCCAGTAAGTACTCCTGCTGCATTTTACGGAAGAGTTCTGAAATTATCCTGGCAGCATTACCAGCTCACATAGGGCTTTTTCTTCCTTTTAGTGTTGCCTAAAAAAGGTTTAGTCCCTGACTTCTTAAATATTTGATTACTAAATGCTTTGATTTCAGATCATTTCCACGTGTTTGTTGGAGATTTGAGTCCAGAAATTACAACAGAAGATATCAAATCAGCATTTGCCCCCTTTGGTAAAATATCGTAAGTATCATAATCAATACTATATTCAATAGCAATAGGCAAAATTGTATATGATGAACTTGTATCAGAGTTAAGAGTTTCTTTCCCTAGTTAGTGTGATTTTTTTTGTTTGTTGTTTGTTTGGTTTTTTTGATTAGTAGATGTTGTTGAAAATGTTAATGTCATTTCAATGTTTTGGGGTCTTGTTTTCATCTAATCCTGTGTATAACATGTGAAAAAATTTTAAGTGATTCTATTTGTTATCTTTAAAGCAGATGTTTGGGTGGTAATGCCTATTAATAAAGTCTAGCTTTTGTGAAATGTTTTCAAAATTTGGTGGTTAAAGATACAGGTTAACCAAGATTAAATGTGATTTCGGTTGTGTATTAAACTTTTATAGAAGGAATTTATAAGTGTGGAAAAGCAGGGAAATCCTTGGGTTTATTGTGAAATTAGAAATGTACATGTTATTATAATGATAAATGTGTTTTGATATTTTAGCTGAAAAGTAGCACTATTACAGTATTAAAATGTTTCAATGTCTGAGCCATAAATGTGGGATTTATTAGTAAATTATTTTTTGTTAGTGGTGTTTGATTCTGCTAGTTAGGGCTGAATTGTGGTTTGATTTATTTTTTCAAATAAAGTTTATGCTCAGATTTTACTGTATTGTTACTTGATCTAATATATTGGAAAATTAAAAGTGCTTACAAGTTCTATAAAATGTTTATCACAATTTATCTAATTAAAATCACATTGTTTTATGTATTTATTTCCTGTAGATTTAAGTTAAATGTTTTAGTACTTTACAAAAATATGTTTCACCTAAGAACAACAATATTTCTCTCTACAATTTGTTGTTCTATAGATTTTATTTGATAGATATAATTCTTAATTTTCTATTTTGATATTTGCTTTGCTTTTTAATCTCTAATAAATGTGGTAAGTAGTACTGTTTTAAAAATCAGTGTAAAAAATAATACAGGTTGCTTTTCAATCTTTATTTATACCTGAGACCTGCAGTTTTTCTAAAGTCCAAGTCACAATTAAAAGTAATAGCATTCTGGTTATTTTGCAGAATTGCTCATAAGAATGGACAGGATCTTGAAGGCTAACTGCAAGGAACTGTGCACACTGGAACTCAGTTGTAGATTTTTTTCTCATTTCTATTTATTATTATTATACATTATTTATATATACATATTTTAGTATTTACATTTTAACATTCTATATTCAGTGGAGTTCTATATTTCCAATCATTTTAACTTACTCACTAAAATTTCTGTGTAAATTTGTTGTTTTCGTACTGGTGTGCTTAGCATTGTTGTTAGTTTTTTATTCTCCTTTCTTAAATTTCTGAAAATGTCAATTTTTCAAAATTTACAGCTGCCCAAACTCCAAAATGATGGTAGAGAATTGACCAAGAAAAATAAAGAAATCTGTTAACAGGCCATGTATGCCTTTTTAATTCCTATTTTTTCCTCTTTTTCAATTTTTTAATATTTCATATATTTTGTATCACTAGGCAGAAAACATTTAACTATTTAGAGTTTGCATGGTAAAGTAGTTAGCATTGTTACAGTAATTTATAGAACCAGTAAACCTTAGAGGACACTAGCCAATAGAATATTAGCAAAGGAAACTATTGTTCCTATTAATCTTCAGATTTGAGCATTTAGTTTAGAAAGCACAGGCTATTTGATTAGGTTGCATGTTTATTACATGTTTTTGTCCTACTGCTTTTTTCTAACAGGTAAAGAAGCGTTAGGGAGAGTTCAGGAATGGCTATAGTTAATTAGGGCTAACTGAAATTTTATTTAAAAAAATGCTCACAATACAGTGTGTGTGGTTCCTTTTAGTTTTTATTTTGAGGATGACTCTCACTTCCCTCATTTAGCTGTGCTTCTTTTCACAGGGATGCCCGAGTAGTTAAAGACATGGCAACTGGAAAATCCAAAGGCTATGGCTTTGTGTCTTTTTATAATAAACTGGTATGTTCTTTCAGCTCAATTTGAATTTAATACAAAATTCAGTCATCAGTAAATGTTTTTGGATGTTAACAACAAACACGATGATTGTGTGATTTTGTTTGAGTAATAGTGCATAGTTTTATTTTTTTTCCGTAAGCTTGGAAATAAATGGGAAAAGATAGACTGGTTATAAGGTGGTTATAATGAAGAATATTGAAGTTTGCAATTGTGACTTGGTATGGGTAAGCTGTGTTAGAAGTAAAACTCAAAATTAGGACACATGAGCTAATCTCAGAATTTGGAGGGAAGTTAAATTATGTTTGTCTTAACCATGAAAATCTCAATTTTAACTTTTAAATTATATTATCTGTATCTTTGTAGCTGGGATGGTAATGACTACAACAAGTTACATAAATGAAATTTTAGGCAATTCACATTGATATTTGCATGTATTTAAGAAAAAGGCATCAAATATCTAAGCATTTGCATTAACTGCAACATCAGATAATACAGTGGGCTTTGATATTAACATTTTCAGTTTCAACAACAAATTGCATGTTTTACTGAAGCAGGAAGATAAAGGGACGAGAGTTGTATTCTTTTTTTTTCCGACTGTTCTAGGTCTTAGTTGTGGCACGTATGATTTCTAGTTTTCCCTGCACATGCAGGCTCTTTAGTTTGAGGCATGCAGGATCTAGTTCCCTGACCGGGGATTGGTTCCAGGCCCCCTGCATTAGGAGCCTGGAATCCCAGCCACTGGACCACCAGGGAAGTCCTTGGAGTCATATTCTTTTTTTGCTTAGATTCATTGCAAGTGCACATTAACCTCTATAATCTAAACTCATTTTGGGAGAATTCCCTGGTGTTCCAGTGATTAGGACTCTGCAGTTCCACTGCAGAGCGTATGGATTCGATCTCTGGTTGGGGAACTAAGATCTTGCATGCCATGTGGCATGGCCAAAAAAAAAGTTTTATTTTTACAGCATTCCAACTCTTCTTAAGCTTTAAATCTCGTGTCTAGTCATGTGTGCATACGTATGTGCTAAGTCACTTCAGTCGTGTCCAACTCTTTGTGATCCCAGGGACTATAGCCCACCAGGCTCCTCTGTCCATGGGATTCTCTGGGCAAGAACACTGGAGTGGGTTACTGTGTCCTCCTCTGAGGGATCTTCCTGATCCAGAGATCAAACCCTTCTCTCTTAGTCTCCTGCATTGGCAGGCGGGTTCTTTACCACTAATATCACCTGGGAAGCCCTGTCATAATCATAATCCATTGCTATTAGAATGTAGATTTGGTAAGGGGTAAGGTGATTTAGACCATAATGTCAAGAGTTTTTAGATACTCTACAGTAAAAGTTATGTTACAGATCAACAAGATATTTAAAAACAACTGTGTCCTTTTTCTTGGTTATCAATGGGATTGTGATTTTTCTTCTTGCATGTTTGAATTATAAATTTCCCTTGATGCTTAAATGCTATTCCTAGTATCTTAAAATCTATAAGTAAACATTGCTGTAATGAGTCACTTGCTGCTAAGATTTTTGTCTCTAGAAATGCCAACATTTTATTTCATCTTAGTCTTGTATACCGTTATTTTCTGTGTTGGTAATCGCTCTTTTCTATTTTTTCTTCACAGGATGCAGAAAATGCAATTGTGCATATGGGAGGTCAGTGGTTGGGTGGTCGTCAGATCAGAACCAATTGGGCCACACGTAAACCCCCTGCACCTAAAAGTACACAAGAAAGTAAGATACATCTGCTTTTATATGTTTTTAAGGATACTTCACAGAATAATCTGTTAGTATAGTCTTAATTTCTTAAAATTTAATTTTGTTAGCATTGTAAGACTCATTTAATTTTCAATATATTTATCTGAAAATAACTGGGCTTTGATGTAAGTATATTTGAAGCTGTGAACCAGCTGATTTTATAGATCAAATCAGTAGTGTCGAGGAGAAAAAAGTTCTGTTTCTCCCCACAGTGAGGCATATCTCATATTTTTATAGTATTACAGTAATCCATTTTATAATACTGCATAACTGTCAACACTGTTTTCTTTCTGCACAAAGATAACACTAAGCAGCTGAGATTTGAAGATGTAGTAAACCAATCAAGTCCAAAAAACTGTACTGTGTACTGCGGAGGAATTGCTTCTGGCTTAACAGGTATAGTGTCTCTTTTTTCTAGTCCCCTTCTCTGTGGAGCGTCATCATCATTAGTAGTAATTTCTTGATAACATGAACCTTAAGTATTTTACATTTTTTGTACGTTTATTTTTCAGATCAGCTTATGAGGCAGACCTTCTCACCATTTGGGCAAATTATGGAAATCAGAGTTTTTCCAGAAAAGGGCTATTCATTTGTCAGGTATAATTCTACCTTAATCCATTCCTTTCAGTTATATTATTTGATCCCCTCAAGTATGTGTTTGTTATTTTAGTACTTCTTTGCAATATAGAACTTTAAACTGCCTACATGATGTGCTTTAGGAAAATACCAAGTTTTGATAGGTTTAAACTAAGGGGTTTCTGTGTTACTAAGTTTAAAAAAAACAAACCTCCTTCTCTTCCTCTCTCAGATTTTCTACCCATGAAAGTGCGGCTCATGCTATTGTTTCGGTGAATGGTACTACAATTGAAGGACATGTTGTTAAATGCTATTGGGGTAAAGAATCTCCTGATATGACTAAAAACTTTCAACAGGTAATTCGATTTTTCATAGCACTTTTTAAGGTTTCCATCTTACATATCTACATAAGAGCTTTAGAAAGTCTGTAAAAGAAAGCAAAAAATAAAGCATATAGCTGCTTTCAGTTGATTTTATTAATGCTATTTCAAAAGTGATTATTTTACGGTATTAACTGAATCTTAATACTTTCTTTTCACAGGTGTCACCACCCCAATAAACTTAGACAATGATAAATAACAGAGTCCTATTCACATAAGGGTGCTTACTTAGTTTTTCTCTTCCTTGTCTCCCACTTTCTTCAAATACTGTGTTTCTTACTCGTTTCCTAAAAGAGTAATTTGCTTTTTCCTAGGTTGACTATAGTCAGTGGGGCCAGTGGAGCCAAGTTTATGGAAACCCACAACAGTATGGACAGTATATGGCAAATGGGTGGCAAGTACCGCCTTACGGAGTGTACGGGCAGCCATGGAATCAACAAGGATTTGGAGTAGAGTAAGTTGTTTGAGCTTTTCCAGTGTAGAAGCAGATAACGTTCCAACAAAAGGAAGCTAAAAGTATGTTTTCCTGGGGAGAATCTATTTAAATACACTGAACAGTGTGGCGTTATAAGCATTGTAGAAACTATGAAAAATGCTGAAACTTTGCTTTTTATAATCTAGGTGGAAAGGGAGGTTGGGATAGCATTTGAAGTGTCCTACTATCTCTGTGAGCAGTTGGTAGAGTTTGACTTGTATTTCTAATACTCCATTTTATCTACTTATTTACTTTTGCATGGAAAAGATCTTTTGTCTTATTTATGTTCAGAAATTTAATGCTTTATGCCTATTAGCTTGTGTGAGAAGTCTCCCAAGATTTATCTAATACAAAGCAGCTTACCCTTTTTGTTTTATGGATCGATTGCATTGTTCCTTGTACTTTTTCCCCCTGGGCCAGCCTAGATTATTATTCTCAGCAGTTGCTCCTCCCCCTTCCAGTGTAAACATGTGTTTTTTAAATTGCTTATAAATTGATATACGTATCTACCATGTGTGCAATATTTGGAGGGTAGATGTGTTGAATCATTTGTCATTTTTTAAAAAAAATCAGCTTTGAGATATTTATCAGACAACATTGTGTTGTCTAAACAAAAATTTAAGACTAATATTAGAATATATATTTTGCATATGTGGCTAGATATGTAACATTTATTTCTTTGATCTTTGTTGTAGATATCTTGATTTCTTGTCTGTTCTGTGATTAGGCTCTGCTTGATTTGTGTATAAATGTGTAGATGATTTTTTTATTTGTGTTTGCTGAATTTTTTTTTTTTTTTCTTTCTTCCAAGTCAATCGCCTTCAGCTGCTTGGATGGGTGGATTTGGTGCTCAGCCTCCCCAGGGACAAGCCCCTCCCCCTGTAATACCTCCTCCCAACCAAGCTGGATATGGCATGGCCAGTTACCAAACACAGTGAGCGGGGACTCTAAACAAAATGTAATTCATGATAGCTTCAATTTCCTTGTGACACTCTGAAGACATGAAAGTAGACATCGGAAAATGAAAATATTTATTTTAAAAATTGAAATGTTTGGAACCTTTAGCACAGCTTTGCTTTGGTGAAGGACACATGTCTTCTAGTTCTGCCTTTTTAAGTTTTTGTTCATGATGGATATGAACATGATTTTTCTTTGTGTATAAAAACTAAAATAAAGTGAATAAAAAATTCTGACTACAAATTTTGATATAATAGGAGAAATGGGTAATACATTTTGATTCTTAGATACTATTCCATTTTTATCTTGCTGTTCAGTATTTTAACTCACTGTGTTTTTAAAAGAGCAAAAAAGGGAGGATCGTGAAAACTGGGAATCACATGTAAGTTCATCCTGAATTTTGATACTCCCCTCCCCCGAGGTGGACCACATTCGAAGTCAGCAGGAAAAAAAAGTGATGTTGAGAAGAAATGCATGATTTTGGAGTCGCTTTGGAGGAAATACTTTCTCTGTGCCTAAAGAAACTGAAACCAGACTGATAAAAGAAATTTTGTAACCTAAATAAGGAACAGCATTGTCTGACTTACTTGAGCAAATGTTGGTGGTCCACATTAAGACATATTTTTAAAACTTTAAAAAGTGTTCATAATTAAAACTGTAGTAAACTACATTTCATTTTGGGGGGAAAATCCCAAGTATGGTGTTTGTATTAAAGTCAGACAGTCATACCTATGCTTTTACATGAAGTTTAAATGATATACATTGTAAATATTGAATACAGTGTTTTAAAAGCATGCTTCAACATAGAAGTAGCAACAATGTAATTATTTGAAGTAACACTTAACACACTCCACTGCATTGAATGCAATGGATGAATAAGAATGTTTAAGACTGACATTTCCAAGGTTGGCTACTATGTAAGATTAAAATTATACAAATGACAGAAAAAGCCTTAATTTTAATTTCATACAAATCTGATGCATTAGTACATTATAAAATGTCATTGGAAATTAGATTTTTTTTTTCTTTTTTCTGTTTTTGCTTTACATCATCTGGTATGTAAATACCTTGATTAAAACCTTGTAAGCCTATTTCAAGGTTCCTATAAGTTGTATAGTACAAGCGTTTTTAAAAAATCTTGGGGTGTTTTTTAAAATTAGATATATTTTGCCCAAGAATTTTTTTAACAAGATTGTTAAAACATCTTATTTAGACAGTTTGATGTACCAATTTATAATTGGATATTCAGCTTAAATAGTACACAGAGTTGTGACTTTTATTTTTAATTAATTTTTTCCTTGTGGGTAGTGTGCATGGGATGACAAGTCTGAACAGAGGCTGAGCTGTATGAGTGCAGAGTTTGTAAATGATTTGATTGGGTAAGATTAACACTTGATTCTGAGGTATTTTTCAGGCCATGTGCATACAATCTGCCTCAAATTTCTATCATAACAGGAATGTAAAAGAGAGAAAAATTCTATCTATTTGAATTTTGACAGCTAGGGGGTGCAAATGTTTAGGCAGTGTATTTGAAATGTTTTGAAGTCTGGGCACCAAAATGAAAAAAACTCTTCATAGTTATACTAATAAGATACAGTTAGCACCCACAAATTACTGGTTTTTAAACTTTTGAAGTCTTACAATTAGCTTTAAAATAATGGTTTTGTAAATTGGTCTCCACAGTAATTTTGGTATTTTCCTTCTTCCCCCATTTAGAAATTTATTAAATATGAAAATTTGCAGAGTCCTAAGTTGTTCGTCTTCAGGCCAAATTTTTTATGGCACTTTAGTTTTAACCACAGTGCTCATTTATTACATTCATCTATTATAAAATTTACCCTTATTTCTTTTGTTCATGGTTGGTATCTTTGGGGGATGTTTTGGAAAATTTATATTTTATAAGGAGAACACTCAAATTATATCAATTATGCCTCCTAGTTAAAATTTTCTTAAATATATGTGAAACTTGAACTAAACTCTCAGTTTGCCTTTTTTGGTCTGCCAGTAAATTAAGTAGCTAGTTGCAACACCAGACTAGTTAATACTGCATAGGAAACATATGACTGAAATCTTTTCATCTTAACCTGAAAGAACAAGATTACGTGCTCAGTTCAGTTAATGGAAATTATTAATATTTCTTATTAAATGGTTTTTAAAATATAAAGCTACTTATCCAAATGAAATGTACCATTTTAAAACACAACTATCAAGCTAACACAGACTCAAGAACTATTTTATAACACAGAGTGAAGTCAGTGCTATCTTGATCCAGTTTAAGCCTAAGAATCGTTGCCTTTTCCATGTTCATTAAAAACAGCAGCAGAGATTCTTTGGCAAGCTAGAAAATGTTTATTTCATAATCACTTTGAGATTTATTTTTGGTGATGTGTTTCTGCCTACCACCTTCTTTGCTCTGATCTCTCTACTAGTATTTCCCCTTATGCCATTCCCACTTGATTTTCATGTCTGCTGGCAGTGAGAGGCTGAAATGACTGGCCAACTTAAGCCAAAGCTGTAAACCACAGTTGAAGTAAGTCTTTCAATAAAGACTAGACTATATGTTGAGTGACTTTTTCTTATTGTCGTTTATTACATAATTATCCTTCCAGGCTGCCATAAAATAGGCAATTCCATTTTGTTTTACATTGTTAGTTAAGGTATATGAAGTTTACATATATTTAGGACCTATTTCTGGGTTCTGTATAAGTCATAAACATCCATTTGCTTTGCTGGATTAAAATTTTATTTCTGGATATGGAGGAGTAGAAATTTGCATCCTTCTAAAAACGTATGTTCTGTTGAATGTTCAGTTCAGTTGCTCAGTCGTGTCCAGCTCTTTGTGACCCCATGGACTGCAGCACGCCAGGCTTCCCTGTCCATCACCAACTCCTGGAGCTTACTCAAACTCAGGTCCATCGAGTTGGTTATGCCATCCAACCATCTCTGTTGATTATTAATATAGTAAAATCTCATTATAGAGTCCACAAGTAATGGGGACCATAAGTTTACCATTTCTGGATTGATCTTTGGTAGTGTTATGAGTAAAGATTATGCTCAATAAACAGAAAAAGCAGAAAAAAAATTTAATAAATTGTCTAAACACCTTTCTAACAGGTGTGCCCAAATTATATCTTACCTATTCATTGAAAAATCAGCATTTGGGCTTCTACTGAATACATTATAAACATTGAATTTGCATTTTTAGTATGTATTGAAAAGATATGGAAATGATTTAGACATTTACTTTTATGTAAAGCCTTCAGAGGTTCAAATGAGTGGGTTTTGTTAAATAAGCATTCTGTGTATAGTAATAAATTGTCCTACTTACTATGTTCAGATAGACCACTACAGATTGTATTACCATCTCTTCCACTTTCAAATAAGGAAATTATGTGAATAATTATGACATTTAAAAAATGTGTCATTCCAGGTTGTGGTTAATTAGTGTGGTATTTAAATGCCAAATGAAACCTAAGCTTGTGCCTACCTATATTGGGTCTATTTTGGGAGGGGGGCTATTTTTAAATAACTGCAGATAAACTAGAAACTATAATTCACAAGGTACTTTGTATAAATATCTCTTTGAGGGGCACAAATAATTTTAGAATTGCCCTAATGTGAAGAAGATTCAGTTTATATCTAGAAAATAGAGGAAGGGGAATTATATGTATTTGTCTTAGAAAAAGGGGGTGTTAATAATCACTTACCCTTTTGTTAAATTAGACTTTTGTTTGAAGGAAGAGATTAATCCACGTAACAAACATAAATTTGGCTTTTGAACAATGTCAATTACAGTAACAGGTAATGAAAGTTACATAGGCAATAAATGAATCCCTTAGTGTTCCAACTCAGTTCTAATACATAATGCTGAATTTTCACTTTTCCAGATGGTTGCATTTTTCAAAATCCAATAACCATTGTTTCTTTGAGATATTCCTCTGAGAAAGTGATTCACATCTAATATTTTGAAGTCAGCGTGAAAAGTTAACCAGACATGACTAAAACTGAACTGCAGTTGGATAGTTGTCAAAAGAAAGCCAGGATGGTTTTAACACTGAAAAGGAATCTCTTGGGGTCAAGCCGTCCAGTTGGTGATTTTGCAACTGGGCTTAGTTTGCCTGTGGACCTCCTGTTTTGACTCTGAGTCATGCTTGTGAACTGACAAGAGTTTGCAAACAGCTTGTTATCAGGTGGTTCTGCAGAACTATTTTTTTGAGGTAAACCAGGTTTTCCTATGTATAACTAGTATCCTAACTTTACCGACCGTGATGTTTTTTTCCCTTCTGTTCCTGTACCTTTCTTCCTTGGGTTTCAATACATCAATGCAGAGAAGTCCACAAAACCATCTGGACGAAATGGGCATGAAAGGTATAGCCTTATGCAACTGTGCCTGTTCTGAGAATTGATACTAATACTGTATAAATTTCAGATTTTCACAGTTTACTGGCTAGGAGCTGTGAGTTGAGTTGTTCCATATGTGGAGTATATGATTGCTTTTGCTCATGAAAAGAAAGCCAATTCACAGGTCTTAACATAGCTAAACAAAACATTTAATAACTTTAGTCTTTTTTGAAGAGGACTATGAGGAACATTTTTAACTAAATTGGATAGGTTATATTAATATTTTTGTATAGGGCCCCATTCATCCTTGGTTATCTGTTTAATGAGATTGGGAAAGGAATATGGCTAGAGTAATAAAGATGGGAGAGGCCCTTGATTCTGGAGTGTTAACCCGGGAATAAGACAGTCCTGGGCAGGTGCAGTAAGCCATGCATGATGTCAGCACTTGGGTGCTGATACTTCATATGGCAGCATACACTCTGCACATTTTGTCAAGGAGACTGAACCAGGTTATTGAAAATAAAATATTACCAACATATTTGCCTTATTTACTGGCCTTGGTTATTTCAGCTTCCCTTAATGTGTATTTTTATTTTTGTACCTATGTGTGTATTAGAATGTTGGGCACTTGGTGCTGTTTTATTAATGTATTTTTAAAAGATTTATTTTTATTTATTTGGCTGCACCAGGTCTTCTTTGCAGCATGTGGGACCTAGTTCCCCGATTGGGGATTGAATCCAGGTCCCCTGCATTGGGAGCTCGATGTCTTATCCACTGCACCACAAGGAAGTCCTGCTGCTGTTCTGAAATATTGCCTTTGAGCATTTTCAGTAAAATGGGATTAAGATGTCCTTCAAAATCCATATTTAGTTTGTCATAACCAGAAATCTTTTAATGGATAACCTTGTTCCCAGGCTGCCTCACTAATTTTCTATCTTTGGATACTTCAGTTTCCCTCCATTAGAATGTAAGCTGCATGGAGGCAAGGACCTTCTGATAGCTACACAAATCCTAGGACTTAAATAACAATATTTGGCACATGGCGGATGGTCAGTAGATGTTTATTGCATGAATGTGATTGAGGAAGTAAAAGCAAATGAGTATTTTAGTCTCCCTCTTTGAACACTATATGAGTAGACCTTGATCAGAATCAACTGAGTGCTTGATAAAATGCAGACTATTTTAGAGTGTGTGATTACTATGATTGTTACCCAATATAGTGTTAAGCATCTTTCAAAGGTGGCTAGAATGTACACCTTATGGTAATGTTACCAGTAGGGACCATAACTACTCTTCAAGAATGTGAGTGATACCAGGCCATGATATCAGGTAGTTTGGGGAGCATTTTCTCAGAAGAGGGGCTACGAGCAAGGCAGAATTGGGTTCCTAGGCAGGCAGCATATGAGTATAGTAGACTACTTGGAAATAACCATAGGAAGTGACACAGCTGAGATTCTTGAAGTAGCAATTATTTATATGTATATAATTGCTATATATATATTCATAGACATCTAAAGTCTGTGCTTCAGCAATACTGATAAACAAGGACATTTCTTAAATTGCTTAAGTGAAAATTAGTTTGTAAAAGACTTGTAGGAAAACAGGAGGTAATTTTAAAAGTGTTGATTTTTCATGGTATCACCTGTGCGTGTACATTTAAAATACTGTGTTACTTTAAAATTTGGTCTGCCCTCTATCACAAAGGGTAATGCCTTATAGTCTGTATTTATAGTTAGATTAGGTATTGAAACTGAAACTGCTAGTCACTCAGTCTATAGTCCGCCAGATTCCTCTGTCCATGGAGTTCTCCAGGCAAGGCATTCCCTCCTCCAGGGGATCTTCCCAACCCTGGGATCAAACCCAGGTCTCCTGCATTGCAGGTGGATTCTTTACCATCTGAGCCACCAGGGAAGCCTCAAGCAAGCCCTTCACTTGATTGGGTCTTAAATGTGCCCTGACAAGGTATGGGACTATCTAGAAAACCTATAAAGCATAAGATCATAATGGATAGAAGGTTAAAAAAAAAAAAAAAAAAGTGCCCTGAATCTAGTGCTGTCAAACACAACGCTTTTAAATTCTAATATGTCTGGAAATTACTTATGTTTACTCCCAGGAATTTACAACTGTACTGAAATTTGCTACCTTTTTCAAGCAAATCTGCATGCAGTGTGTCTGGGTTGGGAAGATCCCCTGGAGAAGGAAATGGCAATCCACACCAATATTCATGCCTAGAGAATTCCATGGACAGAGGAGCCTGGTGGGCTGCAGTCCACGGGGTTGCAAAGAGTCAGATAGAACTGAGCAACTACACTTTTCAAGCAAATACGTTGTCTTGACATTCAATTTGCTGGTGCTTTTATTAGACCTACAGAGACGAGACAAAATGCAAAAGCAGAAAAAAAAAAATACATCTCAATTTATAAATTTTGTCTTCACTTTCTCTCTATTCTTAACTCAAGTTTGACCTACCATCTTTTTTCATTCTGGAATACTACAGCTTCCTACCTGAAATATGTCCTTTAAAAAGTTAGGACATAGAAAGGTACACATATGTGCACAACTCTGAGTTTTGAGCATACACATTCATGTAGTGCCACTAAGATTGGGAAAGAGGCATTGACAGCACCCCAGAAGACTTCACGCTTTTTTATCTGGTCTCTAACCTCCACTTTCCCCCGTAAGATAACCACTAGCCTAATTTGTATGATCTTAAATTGTTTGTTTTTACCCTCTATGATGCCTGCTCCTTGGAAGAAAACCTATCTACCTGCTGTCTTTCAACCTAGACAACATATTAAAAAGCAGAGACATTACTTTGCCAACAAAGGTCCGTCTAGTCAAAGCTATGGTTTTTTTCAGTGGTCATGTATGGATGTGAGAGTTGGACCATAAAGAAAGCTGAGCACCAAAGTATTCATGCTTTTGAACTGTGGTGTTGGAGAAGACTCTTGATAGTCTTGGACTGCAAGGAAATCGAACCAGTCAATCTGGAAAGAAATCAGTCTTGAATATTCATTGAAAGGACTGCTGCTGAAGCTGACCAATACTTTGGTCACCTGATTTGAAGAGCCAACTCAATGGATAAGACCCTGATGCTGGGAAAGATTGAGGGCAGGAGGAGAAGGGGGTGACAGGATGAGATGGTTGGATAGCATCACTGATTCAATGGACATGAATTTGAGCAAACTCCAGGAGATAGTGGAGAACAGAGGAGCCTGGCCTGC